GTAAGGACGTATACCGAGTGTGGTATTGCACTCACAAATGCCCCGGTCCATTGTGAAGCCTTGAACGTCATCAAGATGAATGATGGACGAGAGCATGGGGCACCGTAGGAGAACAAAACATCCTGGCATATGTCCATTATCGCCTGTTTCATCGTAACAGAAGACTGATGTTGGAAGGCAGACGTCATATCTATCTGTTCTCAAATCATGATTGGCGATGACACGTCATCTGAAGCAATCCATTGAACAATATCCATCGCCAATCTGAGAAGCACAATACAATACAATTGCATACCAGGCAGATACGACGGAGACTGGTGCCTTATTCGATTCCTCTTCCGCAGGACGCAAGAGCTGATAGGCTGTGATCGGTCATGGGAAAGACTGTAAAGACAAGAATGTACATATTGCTTGCCAACAAACGGTCAACATTGCATTGCCATGGTGAATGTCCAGGTAACGCTTGTATTGCGGATGTGGCCTCGGCAGGATCACAACAAGAAAGCCCATCGTGGGGGTAGCCGAAGAGTTACCAAAGGAAGAGCTGTTGTTGTTGTTCTGATTGTGTGATTTATCAATTACGGGTACATATACCTTTTCTTTATTGTTCCTTATCCTTTTATCCAACCACCCCATCTCCCTCCTTCCACACCACTCACCATGCCTGCCGAAGCACAACGTCAGGCTCAACCAGCGCCAGCAAAACCTGCAGCAGCACCAAGAAAAGTCCGCTTCAACGTCGGTAAGAACGGGCAATATCGCGATCCATTCCAGCTCACCATGCTGACTGTTGGACTCATTTAGGCACCCAGTACCAGGTCCTAGATGTCGTTGGTGAAGGTGCATACGGAATTGTGTGTTCAGCAGTGCATCGAGCAAGTGGTCGCAAGGTCGCCATCAAGAAGATCGCGCCCTTTGACCACTCGATGTTTTGTTTACGGACGCTTCGAGAGCTTAAATTGCTCAAGTTCCTTAGTGAGGCAGGGGTTAGCGAAAATGTGCGTCGTTTGATCCTTTCACTTGAGTGATGTGCTGACATCTGTGAAAGATCATCTCCATTCTCGATATCATCAAGCCCCCTTCCCTAGAAGCCTTCAAAGAAGTCTATCGTGCGTGTATTAGCATTCATCGTTGCGTACTGTGCTAAAGTTATGGCCTTCTATCGCAGTTATTCAAGAACTTATGGAGACCGACATGCATCGTGTTATCCGGACACAAGACCTATCCGATGATCATGCTCAATACTTTATTTACCAGACCCTCCGTGCCTTAAAGGCACTTCACTCTGCGGACGTCATCCACCGTGATCTAAAGCCCTCAAATCTCCTCCTCAATGCCAACTGCGACCTCAAGGTCTGCGATTTCGGCCTCGCGCGTTCGGTGAAGACTGCAGAACCATCGGGAACAGAGACTGGTTTCATGACCGAATATGTGGCGACGAGATGGTACCGCGCTCCAGAGATCATGCTCACGTTCAAGCAATACACAAAAGTATGCAATTTTCGTTTCGTCAAACTTCTGATGACAGCGCTCATCTTGAACACAGGCCATCGACGTTTGGTCCGTGGGGTGCATCCTCGCTGAGATGCTTTCTTCCAAACCGTTATTCCCCGGACGCGACTACCATCATCAACTTAGCCTGATTCTCGATGTTCTCGGTACACCTACTCTCGACGAGTTTTACGCGATTTCGACGCGTCGTTCTCGCGACTATATTCGCGCACTGCCTTTCCGGAAACGCAGACCATTCGCAACTCTGTTCCCCAATGCTAATCCTCTGGCAGTGGACTTCCTGACAAAAACTTTGGCAAGTTATCTCATGAGACTGCTGGGAACTACGTTAACCAGTGAGCTGCCAACAGACTTTTGACCCCAAGAAACGTATCACCGTAGAAGAAGCTTTGGCTCACCCCTACCTTGAAGCATATGTGCGTTACACTTTCCGTGCCTCTGATCAATACTTTTACTCATGGGATCTCTAGCATGATCCCGATGACGAGCCTGTTGCTCCTCCGCTTGACCCCGAATTCTTCGAATTTGATTGTCAGTTCGACGTCTTACTTTGACATACGCCTACTGACCTTCGGAAATTTCTACAGTGCATAAGGACGACATCAGCCGTGAACAGTTAAAGGAACTTCTTTATGAAGAGATCATGTCCTTTAACCCGGCTCCCATCACATAAGTCTCTCGACGTGGCACTACAGCGCTATATGATGGTCCACCCACGCCTTCTTCCGTCATTTTTATCGGTCATCCCGGAACTAGAGAGTCCAATTTCGACATTTCCTTCGTCCTTCGCGGGCCTACACACCTCAATTTACCCCAGCTCTTGTCAAAGCCGTGTTGTCGATGCCTACTTCCATTTTACCCCGTCTTGTTCTTATTCGCCTTCTTGGTTTTTGGGATCGCAGTTGTCCTTTCCCGTATTATTTGCGTGGTGTTATCCAGGCATCAGGAAATGCCCACATACTCTCTCCCTCATTTCTGTCCAGTCCTCGCGTTTTATGTATATATGCCTTGCATCTGCTTCGTCTGTTTAGCTTTGATCTACAACTGAACTCTGTTTTTCATTGTACACGAATACCAAGCCCCCTGTGGAACGCTCCGAGTCATGGCTTTCCTTTGCCGTCCTTCCTTCATAGTTTGGCGCTGGGATGCCTGATAAGCCTGATGCTATCACGCTTTAGATGTCGAGCAAGCAATCATGAACAGCGATGAGGCAAGATTACGAAGAAAATTTTGATTTTTTTCGTGCGTGACAGGGGAGTGTCCCATAAATCATTTTACATCCTCGAAACAATAGCACCGCACACCATGTCTTTCCCTGAGTTTTGTCATCTTCACTTTAATTGAAAGCTGTAGCAATGTATAGTTACGCAGAATTGCCTGAATTCTATTCAAATGTGGTGAGAAATATAGTCACTCCATATCGTTGCGCGAGTTCCTTCGCCCCTATTCTAAGCTCTGTGATATCGCTTTCTTTTATCCGTGCTGATATGACCCGCAGTTTAACTGAGTCTAATCCTTTTTCAAGTTGAAGGCGACACTCGATCATAGATAGCAATTTCTGGTGATTGCTAGAAATTGGGACGTCGAATGTGAAATTCTTAACTTCGGGAAGAAGTAATTTAAAGAATATCCGTTCGAGGGTTTCTTCAGGAATGCAAAGACCTGTTATAGAAAGAAAAACACAGGAATGGAGTGCAAGCAGGAGGTCATCCATAAGCTCTCGATTAGGTGAGGTGTCCATTTCGCTCGAACGGAAACCAAACTTTGTTAGTTTGGCCTTTGAGCGCCCGAGAAAATTGATTATGGCCACAAGGAGCCCTGCGTTACTTTGAGTGTCGACAGAGAAGCAAGTGAGAGAAGGGATCTCAATGAGAGGAAAGGAAAAAAACATCAGAGACCTCCAAGGACAAGGTTTTTAGACGAACGGCTTTCTGGGCCTGAAGCAGTTGGACAGGCTCATCGTCGAATATGGCGCATTCGAGATATTTGAGGTTAGGGCACTGCTCAAGAATGACGTAGAAGAGCTCGAGATTGATGTCAAAATCCTTTATGGTAAGGGTGAGGAGTTGCTCGGAGGCTGTAATGGATTTGATAATGGAAGAAGGGAGGGCTCCCCTGATGTTCAGGTTGACTAGACTGAGGTGAACGAGTTGTTCCTTGTTCCCAAAATTGTTGTTGAACAGAACGAGATCTGGATCATAAACATGAAAAAGATCCAGATGGGAGAGCGTCTGACTGCACTTTGAAAGAGCTCTAACAATGATTGCAATGTTGGGTGGGTCCGAACTTAGTGGGCATTCGAGAGTTAATGATTTGATCTGATGCCACGGAAAGTCGATTGACAAAATGATGTCGGATTGCGTTCCTGGAAGTTGAAGAGTCAGGGTTTCAAGCGAAGCCATGGTGCCGAATGGACTGTTTTGCCCTATCCTTGTCCAAACGCCTTGCATGAGGGGGTCAACCTCATCGATTTCAATGCTTAAGTTACGTAGGAGAGGCCACGGGATTCCAGAAAACAAGAAGTCGGGTGAATCACCCCGTAGCCTGAGGTCGCGAAGACGAGGGTAAGGGCCAAATAAATCTGGATACGAATGAACTTGAACATTTAGGTCGGCTGCCATGCCTGTTAAGCTCCGAACTGGAAGCAGATGGACAGAGAGTGTCTCAAGCCGAGAGAATACATTAGGCGGAAGAGCCTTCATAAGGTCTTTCAGATTCGAATGCGCGATCTGTGATTCATTGGACCACCAAAAACTGTCGGCTCGGGAAAGGTAACGGGTAAGATCTGCTTGCTTCAGACTATCATAGGCTGATACCTCGACGTAAAGCTCTAAGTGGCAAATGTCGGGATAGGTGTCCACGAAATATTTTAGCATTTCAAGTTCCTCTTCAGTGTCAATGCCTTTGTAGAACGAGACTTCTGCTTTACCCCAGATATGCGGCACGACGGAACGCGACAGTTGTCTCCATAGACTGCAGACCCGGCCCAGGACCCATGGAATGCTGGGAGAAAATAGAGGAATGGAAATAGTTCCATGCTCAGGGGAGGGAAAAAAACAGAAAATACGGGCGATGATTTCAGGAGGAATGCGCCTATGAGGCGCGAGAGCGACGGAAAGGATCGAGACGTGTCGAGAGTGTGTCGACTCGGTCGAAGTGGCAGTGACCTCGCCGGATATTGATTGTGATTCCTCCAACTCTAGGAGGGCATTCTGGGATACGGAAAGAAGGGTCCTTGCATAGATTGTATCGGCTTCGGACAAAACATACTGATTCGTCCTACAGACGCTTTCTTCCAGGTTATTGATAAAAAGCACATCAGCGAGCGAGAATAAAGTCATATGAGAGGGTACTGCAAATTTTGAAAGGTTCGTTTTAGTTTAGCCAGTGAGGGAAAGGGATAATGCACTTGCTGAAGGTGGTCGTACGTGTACAAGGTATGTGGTTTTATGATGGCTATTGTGGCAAAACAACTTGACCGATGGTTATGCCCCCTAGCCGACTTGAACGACTGACCTCGTCATGTATCGCAGATACGAGTGACGCGCTCTACCACTGAGCTAAGAGGGCTTCCGTTGTTGTTGTCTTAACAATTTCTATATGTCCTCCAGTTAGCTGCCCAGTAATAACTGCTATTCCGTTGCTCAACTACACATTGAAAATCTACAATTCTTAATACACAGTAGAAGCGGCCGTGCCTTTGACTTCCTACCTCTCACTTAACAATTTACCATCCCTGTTTGGGGTTAGGGAACGTCTGCGCACCGGGAAACTGGGGTCCTCCTTGATGTCCATGGTGATTGTGCTGGTGGTGTCCATGCTGGTGGTGTGCGTTATGCTGATGCTGATGCTCGCTGGGAAACGCCGGACCAGCGCCTGGGAACGAAGGCGGCGGTCCACCCCCCGGGTGCGCGTCAGGGAACGAGGGCATCGCACCTGGGAACGAAGGTGGAGGACCCTGTCCACCAGGGAACGCGGCAGGTGAAGCGCCAGGGAACGAGGGCCCAGGCCCCGCGCTGGGGAACGACGCCGGTGGCCCGCATGAGGGCGTGTACCCTGCATGCGGCTGCGGATCGTACGACGGTGCGTATCCAGAATGTCCTGGGAACGAGGGAGCGTGCCCGCTGGGTGGAGGTCCTGAAGGAGGCGCGTAGCCTGAGGACGGTGGCGGGCCAGATGGCGGACCGTATCCTGAAGATGATGGCGGGCCAGATGGCGGACCGTACCCTGAAGACGACGGGGGACCAGACGGGCGTGTAGATCCCGTAGGGGGCGGGCCGGAAGGAGGCCCATAGTGGGAATGCTGCGTAGCCGCTCCCGGGCTCGGGTTCGCCGTGGGTGCACCACCGTAATACGACCCGCCCTGGCCTGCAGTCCCAGGCGGCGCAGGGCGCTCGCCATAGCCGCCTCCGGGTCCGTCTTTCCTACCCCCAGCGCCCCCAACCGCATTCATCAAATGCGACGCCTGCGCAACACCAGGGATCTGGTTCGCGAATCCAAAAACTGCATGCTGCACCTGGAGCCCCTCCGTCTGCGCGAACGTGCCCTCGGCAGCAGACGCCCCGCCCTCGCCTACGAGGCGGATGTTCTGGTGGTTCCGCACGGAGTCCTTGCTCAGGCGCTGGATGATGGTGTTGCTCCGCGCCCCGAGCTGGTTCACCCACGTGTACATCTCCTGCAGCATCTTGCGCTGAATTTCGGAGTTCGGGGACTCGAAGTTGGGGTGGAAGCTGTGCGTGTGCGTGTGGTGTTAGTTGGTTAGGAATGTCTTTGAGGGAAAAGATTGTGGCGTACAGGCATTGGAGGACGTCCTCGGAGAGGGCGTGGACGTTGACTGAAGGATCGTCCCATGCCTTCGTGACAAGTCCGACAGTGTAGATCTAAAGAAAATCTTTATCGGTACACTGGCCATACCTCAACCGCTGTATGATGACGTACGACAATGGCCCTCGCAACATGACCCGCAGGTTCATTCAAGATGAGATTCTGCACGTGCATTGAGCTACACATAACCTGAACAGTAAACACCAGAACAAACTCACGAAGTGATCTTTACTCAAGAACGAATGGGTCGGGTCGGACTGTATCATCAATATGAGGTCAAGACACGCACGCGATAAAGGTAAGGCAACGTAAACATACCGCTCTGGGATCGTTGAACACCTCGTACTGATCACCACTATTGATGACTTCACTCGAGATTTCACCAAGGCTTGCCGTAGTAGTCTTCAAGATGGGCTTGAGGAATGGCTATACACAAACACCAAACCAATCATCAACTGTCTCGAACGAGCGAAAGATAAACAAGTCAAACCTCGAGCGTAGTGAACACGAAAACTACAAAGGCGGTCAATCAACTGATGTAGTAAGGGCTGTGGCATACGAGACGTACCAGAAATCGAATCCGAAATCTTCTCAACGAGCGCATTAAGCCCCGGTATCCTCTCAATCGTAATCTCGATCTTCTTCATCACTAGAGCACAAACACCAACGCGAGTCAGAACCCAGCTAATCGACCACATCCAAAACCACATCCACATCCACATCCACATCCACAGAAACACGACTCACCCGAATCCCTAAACGTCAACACCTGCCACAGCACCGAATGCAGTTCCTGGGGGGACATCTCCTCGGGGCGCTTCCCGCCGCCCTGCGGCGCACTGGACGCCCTGATGCGCTCGACCGCGTCCATCTCGCGCGAGAGGTCCCCGCCCGTGAGGCCGGGCACGCTGAACAGGAGGTCCCGCAGGACGTCGCCCTGGGACCGCCCGCCGCCAGGGCCCCCGCGCGTGCCAGAGGATGCGGCAGACGAGCGCGCGTTGTCGAGCGCCTTGTTGAGGTCGGAGACGGAGGCTTGGGAGAGGTGGTCTGTCGCTTCTGTTGGTGGGTATGGAAGGAGGTGTTAGTTGGTGGGTTTTTGGGAACTTGGATAGAAGGAGGGGAGGGGGACGCGACGTACCGCCGAGGAGGGAGTGGTAGAAGTCGTTCGAGCCGAATGTGCCTGCAAGTCAGGAAGGAATGAGCGTCCGAGTGAGTCAATCTTTCATTTCAATTGCAGAATAGTTTCTAGTTTCGCTCACTCACCGGTAACGATCGGCGCGACCCACTGCCCATTAGGCGCCTGCACGCGCACCTGGTCCCCAACGTGCAGGAACACCTCCCGGTGCCCCATCTTCGCCAGCGCGAGCTCGCACCAGTTCGAGTGCGCGGGGAAGTCTTCGAGCGTGTGCAGCTGCGGGAAGTGTAACGGGTAAAGCGTAAGCACACGGCACACGTCGGGGTGTGAGCGAGCAACTTAAAAACATCTTACCAGTTGCCCTAAAAGGCGATACGCCTCGTACTCGTCCTGCTTCTGCCCCTGGCTGCGGTGTTGGCGCCCCAGGTGGATGCACCGCTCGAGGAGGCGCCGCACGAGCGCTCTGGAGGTGTCCCAGTTGCCTTGTTCTGTGCAAGTTCCAAGTGGTCAACGATGAAGATGGAGATGAAGATGGGATGGATATATGTGACGGTGATGTGGTACACGTACCGTTCGCGATGTAATTCTTCATCCCCGTGCGCGGGTCGATTTCCAGCTCGCGGGGCTACATAGGTATAAGTTATAAGTTATAAGTCAAAGTCAAAGTTATGTCAATGGGATCGTAAGTTGTGAGACTGCGGAGAAGAAATGGACGACACTCACGTCGACGGGCGGACGCAGCGCGGGGTGGTACCGCCGCGGGTCCTCGCCCTCCCCGTAGCCTTTCGGGTTGTCGATGTGCTCCACCTAGAGTTAAGGCCCCATCGAGGTGAGCGATCGCTCGCTGTATGCAGTATAGTAGAAGTACGCACGGGGAGGTACACGCCCACGCGCTCCTGCGTCACTTCGAATTCGTGCGTCGCGTAGCCGTGCGCCTGTGGACATGCATGCACATTCGCACATGAGGGTCAGTCAGTCAAGCGGGGCGGGGCCCATGATGGGCGTGGACGGACCATGAAGCCGAGGACCATGAGGAGGTTCATGATTGTCTGTGAGTGAGGGGGTGCATGGTCAGACGAGACGAGATTTTGGAGTCGTGAAGTGGGATCGTGATCGTGATTCGTGGAGATCAGGTACACACACACACCTGTAAAGGCATCTTCTTCAACGACGCGATGTCGACTGCCTATACACGCACGATTATCGATCAGCATGAACAAAGCTCGGGCGGGCTCCGCGTCCATGGGCAGGAGCACGCAGCACGCGGACGCGGGCGGTACGCACCTGGCTATAATCGCGTAGCCAGTTCCTGTGAGTGAAATCAAAGTTAAGTATAGATCGCAGACCTGTGATAGACGCAGACTTTGCGATCGCACAACTGTGCGTGCACGTACGTACCCGAAGTATACACGCTTGACATCAAGCCCGGTGAACTTGGATCCCTTGGAGATTATTGATGCGAGTGCGAAGCCCCCCGCGCCGCGTTTGACGAGTTCGCTGAGGGCGTCTTCCTATTAGACGTCGTTGTAGTTCTAACGCATCGCATCGCATCGGAATACGGGTGATACGTACGATGTCGCCGTGCCTAAACGCCCGGCCCTCCATGTATGCAAATCTGCATGTGCATGAGCGCGATCGGATGATAATGGTGCCAAGATCTGCACACGCACGAAGGGATGTTACCTGCGCCAAAGGCGTAGACTCCATTTCCGGAGAGGCAGAATGCGAATAGGACGAATGCTAGGAGGAGGTGAGTGTTGGTGGACATGGTAAGAGTAAGAGGAATGATTCTTCTGGATGGATGCCAAGATGCGCTCCAAGGCTGTTCCCCGGCCCACGTGCCCCAAGAGGCAACACGGGCGCTGTCCGCAGTTATTCTGGAAATTTGTGCTAATGTGATTATGATTTTGAATGAAAAAGACAACAAAGACTGTATTGTAATGAATGAGAAGGGTGGATTGCAATTGACGCGGGGCTTGTGGTCGGCAGTTCGGCAAATAGCGGAGAGTGGTGGCTCGATTTGGAAATATTTTTTTGCTGCTGTTGTACGACGTCCCCACCAAACACCAAACACCCAAACTTCGCTCTCGCTGCGGTCTTCTGCTCTCTCTCTGCTGTATTCTCTAGACTTTCACGCTTCTTTTAATTCATGTCAGTGCTGCTCCTCCTTTGCGTTTAACCCGTACTAAGCCTTTTTCTTTCAGCATGACCAATTCCACCACTAGCGCGCCTGTCGTTCCTTCTGAAGTCGGCTGGCAGTTTGTGCCTCAGTATTATACCTTTGTCAACAAACAGCCCGGTCGTTTGCACTGTTTCTACACAAAAAGCTCAACCTTCAGCCATGGCACGGAGGGCGAGGAACTCAAACCATGCTTCGGTCAACAGGTGTGTTTCTTTTTCTGCTTCAACTCTGCTGTGCCACGGTGTCTTTGGATCCATCCAAGACTTTTTTTCTTCGAGGTGGTGTGTGTGGCCAGCGCACATCACTGTATTTTGTGGCATTGTTCGTCTTAGTAATACAACGCCTACAGGAAATTCACAACAAGATTACATCGATCGGATTTGAGGACTGCAAAGTGTTTATCCACTCTGTCGATGCCCAGTCTTCCGC